GAAATTAATGAAACACATAATTAGCTCTACATAGACACAGAATAAATATTCCTTATTTTAATCATTTTTTTTTAATATTGGTGATAGATATTCTCCCACTGCTCCTCAGCTTCTACATCTTCCTTCCTCCAGAAAAACTTGATTAAATCCTTCCTGTTATAGGGTACTTCTGGAGGGAGTAATGTTTAATTGAAATATAAGCAATTCAGAACAAATCAGTAGAAATGTTAAGAAACATTGTGAGAGTAACAGACACGCTCTGACATCTAAATGCAATTAGGGTGGGATTCAGAAAATGAAGGTATTGTGAGGGAAACCAGCCATGGGGTCTGGAACCAAAGGTATTTGGGGAATGTTGCATAAAATCTGATTACAAAAGATGGTAGAGGGGAAGGATTCAGAAGGGAAAAGGGCAGAGTTTAAGGGTAAATTCATATAAGCTCAAGTGTAAGATTGGCCATCTGGCAGCTCATCCCTAACCTGTACCCTCTGGAGAAAGGAAGCAACGGATTAAATGCAGCAAAGAGGAGCAAAACTAACGAAACACTTGGAAGAGAGAAATGGGGTAAATGAAACCAGAAAGGCCCTGGGAAGCTCTGGTCAAGTTTGTGAAGAAGCAGCAAAACTGCAGAGAGGAGAAAGGTGACTTGAAACTTTTTTAAAGAAAGAGCAACATGTGAGGTTTGCAGAGGTTCAGCATCCCACTGTTTGTGGGAAACAACAGCAAAAGCTCAAACACCTGCACAGGCACTTCTAGAAACAGCAAAGGATATCCAGCCAGGAATGCCTCACACAGAGAGTAAAGGGCAGTCACTGCTGGTAAAATGAGCATCAAAAAAACACCACAGGGATAACGGTCTCCTCAGCCACATCTACCAAGATATGTATAGAAATACCTCTGGCTTTGATCTGACCTTGACAAAACCTACTCAGAACTTCAAGGAGAAAAGGAGTCTTTAATATGAGGAAGGGCACAGATTGTGTTTATTAAAAGAAAGGGACAGATTTTCTGTCTTCCCAGTTTAAAGTTCTTCAGCTTTTCAACTCGCAACTAATTTTTTTTTAGTTTACTTGTGTTCCAAAGTTTCTTCTCATTCAAGTGTTAACCATCCAATTTATTAACAGAGGACTTCTATTTATTTTTATTTTGACATGTAAGGATCACGTACTTGTCGTGAGAAAAAACTGCACCAGATCTGATTATCATATAAATTGTTCTTGAAACAAAATGGGTTAAGAGAAATAAGCACTTGTCAGGTCAATCCTGCTGCTGTTAGTATCTTAAAGCAACCCACCACTTCTGTTCCCCTGCTGCTCCTCCTTCCTGAGGGGATATCACTTTTTCATGATCAGATTTTCCTTTGTTGGGGGTAGATTGCTGCTGGTCTTAGTAAAGTTATCCTGAAGTAGTTAGCTCAAGAAAAGAAGTTGTTTAAAGATCAAAAAAAAAAAAAAAGCCCAATAAAAGTGTCTTAAATATAAAGGTTCCAAGCTAGACAGAGAGTAAGTAATAAAAATGTATTCTGCTTATTATGTTTTCTAATGTGAGGACACTTTGGCATTTATTTCACTTTTTTTTTTTTTTTCTATGGAAGGACATGAGATGAGATAGAACAGCCAAGGGGGTTACTATTCATAGATACCCTTGGAAGCTGCCAGTCATCCCAGCCAATAGCTCTGGAGAATGGAAAATTCATGAGATGGGAAAAGTAATACAAAGATGTAAAGCAGCGTTTTGCCTTTCGTCCCTGGGTCAAAGCTGGTTCAGGTGGGTTCTATCCTAGAAATAATTAGGAATACATATTATATGTGTTGGAATTATCTTCCTGAATTTTTAAAGATTATACCAGGTAGGCCTATGTGCTGATATCTGGCAGGATGTTGGTACAGCTCTTTCTGTGTGGCCCTTGGTAGGAAATTAAATATGGTTTTGGTTGCCCATGTCTTTAATTAGTTATAAATACTGACCAGGTTCAGCCCTTCCTCCTTCCCACACTTCTCCATTGGTTCTTTTGCAAAAAAAAAAGACCAAAAAGATGGAACCCTCCCAAGCTCTCTTGTACTCTTAATGGTTTTTCTTTATTGTTCATATTTTAGCTGAAATGGTTGGTTGGAAAAGTTGGTGCTTAACACATGTGCGTGTTTGAAGGAAGGATCAAGCCAAGTTTATCAGTGACTAAATGAAATAGTAGTCCCTGGACAAAATGGTTTTGTGATGGCAAAATGTTTATCAGTAGAAGCAAAAATTATTCCAGTAAATAACTGAACTTCCACTTCTCATTCAATCTGGTTGTGACAGCAATAAAGGGGTGGAAATGATTGAGACAGGAGAGATGACTCTGCTGGTTAAGTGGACGATTAACTACTCCTAAAATCAACCACAAGTTTAACACCATGATTTCTGAGTCTTTTTCTTCCCTTTCATTTTATCTTCCCCCCCTCAAAAAAAATCTTTCTTCAGTGTTTTTGTGGTGGCACAGGTAGAACTGTCTGAAACATCAGACCTGAGCAAACAAAAGTAGATCTTTACCTGAATATGTTCATGTATTCTCCTTCTGCACCATGTCTGAGGATACAATAATATTTGAGGATAAAGAACACTGAGCTCAGTAAGGATTGAAAAGCTTTCAAAGCTACAAACTTTGATAGGAATTTGAAGTCTCAGTATTTCATTTGCTCCATGTCATGGCATGATTATACAATTTCCTTCTAGAATTCCTAATTATTTCCATATTTTCACTCCTGCAGAGAAATAAGTCCTTGCTTGGTTTTGGTAGGATACAACAGTTACCATCTGGTTTGTTTAGTTTGAAAAAGGAGCAGGTGAGTTTAAGCCATCAAAATTGATCCTTTCATACAAGAATTGTTCTTGCCCTCAGCGAGGTAAGAACATTTTTGGCACTCTACACCAGTGCAAATAGTCGATGATTTGCAGGGGAAAAACCCCACAAGTTTTCTATAATTTTTTATTCAACAAGACTTCAGTTTTGTTTTGTATAATATTAGAAATAGATTTCTCAGCAAACGCTTTTCATGTGAAACTGTTGCAATAGCAAAATGCAAAGTTAATCAAGATGAAAAGCAACTCACAGGAGCTCAGGAGTTCAGAACCTTCTGCTAAATATCTCTTAGGAAAACCAAGTGTAGGATTTCTTGGCTCTGAAGTTGTGGGTTTCCACTAATTCTGAGATGCATGGCCAGAAACCCACAACAATACTTTGAATACTTTTAATGGGCATTGATAATAACAGGCTATAGGCTCCCTCAGTCCCCTTTTTCCCTTCCACTTTTTTTGCTTCCCACATGTTAATCTGGCATAATTAATTGCAACTGGGAGTACTGTCAGTCTTTTATCAGCTGCAGATTTATGGAGTGGGTAAGCTGCTGATTATTAAGATTACTAAGAAAGTCCTCCTGATAACTGAGTGCTGGGCATTGCTGGGCCTTAAGTTTGGGTTTTTTCCTATATATATATATATACATATTTTTTTAAGGAAGGTAAAAAAAAGTGCATAAAAATGTAAGTGGTAGAGGTTTGATTTTTTTTTTTTTCTCTCTCTCTTTCTTAGAGAAAGTTGCTTTTACCCCAAGCTGTGTCAGGTACCTAAAGCAGAGATTTGTGTTTTTGCAGCAATTTATCATTTCAAGTTTATCTCAACAGTGTCAGTGAGGATGTAGCTGTGGAGTCTCTTTCTTTTTTTCTTTTTTTTTTTTTTTTTTGTTTTAATCTTCACAGGTTGTCTCTCCCCATTGAATGCTGTTCTCCCCTGGGCCTGGTAACAGCCACATCCTTCTCATATGTTTACAGGGATGGGCCCTCAGGAATTTCTCAGTGAGCTCCAAGAAGCTCTAAATGGGGACAAGAACAAAGCAATCAGTGAATTTCAGAGGATAGAGTCAGAGTGCAGTGAATCCTGCAGGTGTGGGTGCTGCCCATGCTAGTTAGAGGTTCATACACTCTCCCCCTTATTTAGGACAAAATCTCTTTATAGGAAAAGACCTCCTCATAATTTTGAGCACAGTTCAGGCTGATGAAAGTAACTTAATTGTTCAAGGATGTGGGATGAAAGTTCTGCAACAGCTGCCTTTAAAGGTTTCTGAAAGGCATGGTCTGGGATGCTTTTACAGTGCCACTACAGCAGCCACATCAAGCTCTCAGTGGTCCTTGCTAAATAAATGGTCAGTGCCCTCAGGTGTTTGAATGAAATAACACCCTCAGCTGATTGAGAGGATCTCACCCTCACAGATTGAGACTGAAAAATGTGGAAAAATCTCCTCCTAATCAATGCTCTCGGTTCAGCCAGTGCTGTGAGGGGGTGAAAGAAGAACTTGGGGCAAATCAACACCCTGCCATCCTCTGGAGTGTGCTGTTCAGAGAGCCCTGCACTGCCTGCCATCATCACCTCTCCAAGAAGAGGATTTCCTGCAGGATTAAACTCCCAGAGACATGACAGGTGAGGTGGGATGGCATTGTTTGGTAACTGCCATGGGGTGTGTGATGAGGGGAGGAATCTGCATCCAGCTAAGGCAGAGCAGGGGGCAGGGGAGTTGCACTGATGGGGAAGGACAGGGAAGGTCATGGGCTTGGAGAGCTGTGTGGGAGGCAGTGGGAGCATCCTGGGGAGTGGTCCTGGGAAGAACACCTGCTCTTTCCACGTGGAACAGAGTGCAGGATGGTGCACCCGTGCTCCTGGATGCAGTTTGAAGCTGTTACTCTGGCAGCTCTCCCCTATCATGTGAAGGAGGGGATTGATTGCACTGACTGATTATTCTGCATGTTGGTTTCGTTCTCCCTCCACTCCTGGCACACACACACACACACACATCCCTTCTCTGCCACCTCCTAGGAGACAAGATCTCCTGGGTAAGGAACGAAATGAACCTGGGCACGGCAGATGGGGAGAAGCAGCTCTGAGCACTCCTAGCAGAGGGGGGCATGACCAGATAAGGCAGGAGTGGGGTGTGTGAGGGGGGGAGCCCCCAGCGGACCCCCCGCCCTCAGGGCAGCCTGAGGCAGCCCTGCCCTCCCCGGGAAGGCTCTTCTGCCACGCCTGCTCTGGGGCAGCCCCTGGGAGGGTTCAGGGCACTCCTCCAGCTCCGGCTGAAACCACATCAAACCCACACCTACGGGAGGACAGCGGCGTGGCAAGAGGGGGGAGGGAAGACAGGCAGGACAAACGCAACTCACATGCCAGACTCGCAGCCGGCTCTTCCTACAGCGAGCGGATCCCGGGCGCTCCCGGGCAGCCGTGACCCGGCAGAGGGAATAAGGATGAGACACCACCCGGGGAGCGCTGGAGGCGGCTGCAGCACCGCGGGCAGCGCCCACCCCGTCCGACCGTGCTGAGCAGGGCTCAGCACCGCGGACAGAGCAGGTTCAGCATCACGGACAGCGGAGGTTCAACACCAGGACAGAGGAGGTTCAGCACCCCGGACAGAGGAGGTTCAGCACCCCGGACAGAGGAGGTTCAGCACCCCGGACAGAGGAGGTTCAGCACCCCGGACAGAGGGAATTCAGCACCCCGGACAGAGGGAATTCAGCACCCCGGACAGAGGGGATTCAGCACCCCGGACAGAGGGAATTCAGCACCCCGGACAGAGGGGTTTCAGCACCCCGGACAGAGGGATTTCAGCACCCGGACAGAGGGGTTTCAGCACCCGGACAGCGGTCCAGTGGTCCCCCAGCACCGCGGGCCATGGGCGGCCGCGCCCGCTCCGCGCCCCCGCACTGAGCGCAGCCGGTAACACATGTAAGTGCTGCCCCCGGGAGCGGCTCCTGCGAGAAGAGCCCTGGCTCCGGTGCCTGTCACTGGGAAGTTTTATGGGGGGTTAGAGATGTCTCGGTGCCCTCCGAGCCCGAGCGTGGCGGTGCCGGGGGCTGCGTGCGAGGTCGTGTCGGTTTTTTAGCCTTGGAATGTGTGCGAGCGTGCCGGGGCTCAGAGCAACACAGAGGGCTTGTGGTGTCTCACCAGCCACATGGTTTGGAGCCTTGAGTAGCTGGGTGAAATTTTTAAGGGTTTATTTTTCCAGGAAATGAGGATGAAGGAAAGGTCTGAATATGGGGCACTGTACTGTGCCTGTTGCAGCTTGCCGGGTCTAACAGTTGTCAGGAATCTTTCTCTCCAAGTTGTTTCTTGTTTTGAAATAACTATGAAGTAAGCATTGAACAGTAAGGAAAATGAAATACAGCCAGAACTGAGATTACTAGTTCTTTTCAGAGCTTTCCTTTCTCTTTTTGGTAGAACCGCTTGTTGAAAATCTGCGTTACACTGCCCCCTGCTTGAACAATTAGAGATGTTTTTCCTTGCTCTCATCACTAGTAAAAATTTATGAATGAACAGGTATTTCTCTGTTGGGTTCTCAGTATGATCCAAGCCTGAGTTTCAAAATGCTTCACAGTAAGGGTGAATTATTCCTAGTTCCCAAAGCCAGATGAAAAACAAAAAGAAAAGCAAAACTCATTCATATCCCGATAGTCCACTTGGTCAAACATAACAATGAATGAACAGTGGCAGAGAATGTAAAGATAGCCCTAATTTTGATAGATCTCTCTCATGTATTCTGTGATACATTTGTAATAATCAGGTAATTTCACAATTACATATTAAGGGGAAACAAGGAAGGAAGGAAAAAGCCAAAACACTACACGTATTATAAGACGAGAAGAATTTGAATACAAGAACAAAGGTAATTATTTTTCAGTCCCTTCTGCTGTAAAAGTCTTGCATTAGTGCATGACATTGCTTTGGGATGGGAAATAAAATGCTGATACTTCATTTACAAGAAGGGAAAGGGTGAGACCACTGAAAAGCAGTGGATGTTTTTTTTCTGGAAGGTAGCTGGGAGACAGCCAAATTCCATTTCCTTTTTTTTTTTTTTTTTTTTTTTTTTTTGAAATGACAAGTCAGAGCTACCTCCTTTCTAACAGAGATCAGGCAGGATGTGAAAATGTAGATGCTGGTGGTCTGTCCTAAATGTTTCTAGGCTGTTTGCCTCAGACCTTATACTTCGTGACAGGCAGATGCTGGCAGTGTTAGTGTGTATATCACTGATCCTGTGATGACATGAGAGGCCTGTTTTGTCTTCCTGGATGTTTCTCATGCTGCCATTTCTTAAAGGGCTTTGAAAAGGTGTGGTTTTGTTGTACTGCTCCTGTACTTCCACCAGGAGAGACATCTCTTTTCAGATTTTGACCTTGAAATATCATTTTCTTTGATCTGTGTGAGCCGTGGGAATGGAGGGGAGGGGATATTAGTTCCTGCAACTGGTTTGTAGGACTACTCTGCAAGTGACTGAATATCTGAACGGGGCTACAGAATTCTATTAATTGATCCTAGATATGTGCACAACTCTTCATGCAGAAGAATGACCCTGCTGCTGACAGTATTAAATTGGTTGTTTGCACATTATAAGAATAAATGAAGTAGCACTTAAGCAATTCAAAGCACAGAAAACTTCAGAATAAGCTGCTGTTAATCAAGGCAACCACCCCAAATGATACTGAGTCTGTACATACAGTAAGTCAGCAGACTGTTAGAAATCTTGTGTTAAAGGAAAACAGCTTGAACTAAAGTAGGACTTAGAAAACTGTTTAAGATATTGGAGGAAAAGAGGGTACCAGAGGGCTCTGGTAATACATGCCTGGGCAGCATTTGGAATGTCAGAGTAGCCTACTGCATACAGGATAATAAATATGTGCAGTTGTGTTCAGTCTGTGCTCTTTACCTGAAGTCTGGACTTCATTTGAAAACATGCTGCAATTTTTTTAACCAAAAGATGAAACATGCTGCTATTTTTACTCTAAACAGTTTAAATTACTCCTTTAAATTGATTCATTTCTATATCAATTTCTGGTTGCCTGTGGAACCCAATTTCCTTCCTTTTGACCAGGTTTTCTGTGTGGAAACAAGGGTTAACAGAGAAAAATGGCCCATTTGATGTGTAAGAGCTGTGTCAGTTCCAAACAGGCCTCGGGGAGTCTGCAGCCTTTATGTGCCCTGATTCTTTTTAGAAGTATTGAAGTGAGGAGAAAGAAAAATAATAAGTAAAGTGTCAATCTGACAGTTTCTGAGACTCTGCAGGAGCCAAGAGCAGCGCTTCCAAAAAGGGCTTTCAGAAACTTAAATTTCCTTTTCAACAAGACAGAGTCAACGTCTCATCAAAGCCTCCTCTGATGGTTGCTTATAGAGCACAGTAATGGTTACATATCCCGAGTTTCTTCTGTAGTTTCTGGACAAAGGGGGCCATTGATAGGGCACAGGGAGACTCCTGCCAGCTCTCTCCACTGAGTGAAAGCAAACCCAAAGTGTAGTCAGACAGCATAAGTTCCTGAAGCTGCCTTTGTAGTTGCTCTGCTCAATTCTTAGATTTTAAGACAAGGAAAGGTTGTTACCACCTGAGAATTCCAGGACTGCTGCAGTTCCTAGCACCCATTGATTTCAATACCCTTTTAGACTTCAGTTGTTTTAAAAACTCAAGCAGATACTATTCAGCCTGTCCTACACCATTTTAAAGTTCTAGTTCAAAGCCACGTTTAAAAACTCCAATTCAACCTCTTCAGGCACTTAGACCTTGGAACATCTCTCCAAGTCTGAGCTCCAGATGGTAGCCCTTTCCCTTCCTAGGTTCTTGGGTGGGACTAGAGAGGTAGCAGAAGGTCCTGGATGGCTCAGCCTGGAGCACTGTGGAAAGGAAGGTCAAGGAGAAAGGACATTTGTGGGGTAAGCTCAGTATGGAGCAGCCCAACCTCCTTCCTATGTCCACTGTGTCACTCAGACCGGTTAAGGGAGTGTGGTTGCAAAAAAAAAAAAAAAAAAAAAAAAGCAGAGTTTCTGTTTGTTTTCAGTGACACCACATTAAGAACAAACCTCCTGTTCCCTTCTCAGAAGTTGAGTGTCTCAGCTCCGAGCACTGTCAGAGCAAATTGCAAGGACCTGCTCTTAGTCACTTTAATTAGAAACTGAGATGCTCCCAGAGGAAGATTAGTTAAGAGCTAAATCACCTTTCAGAAATTGCTATTCTTTTCCACTCCCCACAGGAGTCCAGACATCTTGTGGCTCCCTCAGCTCTGGAAAGTAGTACTTAGGCCCCGAGTTTTTAAATTTTCTTTTCCCAGTCCATTTTCTCTCCAGCAACACTGCACGCTTGGCATTCTTTCCTAGAAAAACACAGTATTTAACTGCAGTGCCTGATGAGTCTGATCACTGGCTGTCTCAATAAAATATGCAAATTCAGAGTCAATTCAGTGCAAGGCACCTTTAAACAAAAATGGTGAGATAAATGCAATCAAGTTACAATTGCTTTTTTTAAGAGAGCACAGGGCACACACTCAGTAAATATGATTAGTTCTAAACATGCCTGCGTGTTTAGAGTGGATCAAGGTGTTGAGTACAGTCATGACATGTTCATTTTCCAAGAGCTTCAGCTACCCCACACATTACTCTTTGCACTTCCACTTCTTTTGTCGTGATTCAGTGCTCGGGTCAAGGATAATTATAACTCTTCCTCAGACCAGGGTGTGATAGCAGAGCATTTCTCATTAAATTATGCAGAGTTAAAAGTATCATTTTTTATTCATCTCTTCTCTATAAAGATGATAAAGTGTGATAGCTGAGACACTGATCTCTGCTGATGAGCAAGACTGGGGGGTCATAATTCACCTGAGGTGAACCCCTGTGAATGATGGTGCTCCTGCCCTTCTGTGCAGGCAGTGAGGACAACTCTGTGCTGTAGGGACATCCCTGCAGAACATTCCTGGCAAGGTAAATGTTGGATAACAGTTCTCTCTTTAGAGGACAGGTTGGCTTTTCCTGTTTTCTCTTTTCCTGATGCAGTTTCTGTTGTTAGAAATTCTGCATGAAACCAGTGTTTCTCTCTCTGAATTGAAGAAAGTGAAATGAAGGTCCTCTTCTTTTTCTTTGGCATGTTATTACAAATGCAACAAACAGGTGTAAATTAGCTCTAGGCCAAACTTTGACCTGTTTTCTCGGGTAAAAATCTTAGAAGTAGGTCAATGGGAGTATTTTATGTGGGTTTATGTTTACTTTGGGTGTGATTATAAGGTTAACTGTCCCAGCTGTCTGGGTTGTTCTTTATAATAACATACCAGAAGAGAAAAGGTTTTCTAAGAAAAAAAGAGTGAATTATCAAGGGCTGTACTTGGACATCAGGCAAAATACAGATAGATTCTTCACTGGTGAAAAGTACAGATATTTCTGAGTTGCTTCCTGTACAGACCCTTAAATACAACAACAAATATAATAAGATTGTCAAATATCTTATCCTGCATGGTTCTTGAACATCAGAAAAGCTCCAGCTCAAAGCAGCTCTTGCAGTTAACTGCCCTAAAATATTTAGGCACGTGCAATCCTGCTGCACCCCTGGGTCATCACTGAGCAGCTGCTAGAACTGGAATGGTTTCCACTTGATCCCAGCAACAACTGCTTAAGCCATCGCCAGCTCATTGTTTCAGGTTGCTTAATATTTTAAGAGCTTTAATTCAACATTCAGGAAATCCCCAGACTGTGCAAGTGTAATGTGCTCTCTGGTACTGCGAGTCCTCACTTAACAAAGGCACAGCTCAGAAGTGGGTTTTTTGGATGTCTAGTCCTTACTTGAACTCAGTAAGACTCGAGTGCAGGTTTAAAACTGAAGTGCTCCCTTGAACAACTCCAGTTTAGAGAAGCACTCGTGCATATGGTTAAATATTTATTTTAACCATGTTAGTCCTCCTGGTCTCACTGGAAGTGCTGCTGAGGTGAAAGCTAATGCTGGGGATAAGGAGAGTGTGTGTGTGTGTGTGTGTGTGCAATATATGTTTCCAAAATTTGGACACCACTGAAATCAATTAAATTTGTAATGCTGACTTTTTTTTACACCAGGTATTTTGCTGCTTTAGAGGCCTCTGCCTCCCTGTCAGATGTGTTGATGATGTATTTTCTAGCTGTTGTTGTTTTCGCTTGTAGTAAACTTCATGCAGTCCAGGGAATTCATTCCCTCAACTCATCTCCTGCATTATTCTTGTGTCCCTCATCTCTGTCTACTTCTTCAACTTCAAACCATGTTGGAAGGAATTAGTTTTAAGATTCATGTAGCACTGTATCTCTCAGTGGAGCCTGGGATGATGTGTTCCGTTCCTTCCAGCTTTTAGTAAGCTGTTATGCTGATGCATCAAAGCTGAGGGGGAGAGGTTCTTAATTATGAACCTCTCTTTCAACTTTGTATGGTCACAGAATTGATTTCTTGAGATTGGTTTAAATTTTAATGTAACTTCTAAAAATTGACCATAAAGTTTGGAACTCTTCAGTACTGGCCTTCTGTTCCAGATCAGTGAAAAAGTGATGAATCGAAGTGATAGATGCACATGTATATGTTCATTCCATAAGAACAGCTACACTGAGAACTTCTGTGTCCTGGTTCTTTAGGTATTTTGGGTTTCTGACACCCCTTTGGTTTTGATTTCTTTCTGAGTATCTTTACTCTGTATCTGCTCCACTTTGTCTCCTGGCATTGCTCCCTCTCAGCATTCGCTGCAGCACTTTCCAACTTCAGTAGTATTTTCTCAGAGTAACACATGAACTTTTCACTGACTGAAGGTCAAAACTGACTTGGAGAACAGATGGAGCGTGGAAGGAGGAACCTTTGCCACCCATTGAGCATTAACACCTGCTTGTTTGTTACATCTGTCCACAGCATCATAGAGACTCTGGAAGATTTTACCCAAGTGATTTAGGACTTGCTATTGGACTGAGTGCAAATGCTTTTCATGAAAGAGGTGTTGGTTTTATACTTTTTACTCAGGCTGCACATTCTGTGGCCTTAGGATGGTGATTAACTCCCTGTGCTTGGACTCTAAAAGAGGGACTGTGACTTTGTTGAGATGCTACTGAAATTTAAAAACAGTAAGCACAACATTGAGACAGCACTGGATGCAAAGTGTGACTGTTTCAAAGGCACAGATTGGTTAAGAATTTCAGTTATTTTCACATAATAGTGTGTTTACCCACTCTTGAACCCAGTTGCATATAGCACAACTTTCTTTGGGGGTTGCAGAGATGGTGGAATAAGAATAGTTTGTCTCCATCCCACCAAATTCAAGTGAAGGCATTTCAGCCACACAATCAGTGGGGAAATCAATGACCCTTTCAGTCCTGCCCTCTGTGTGTGCTCTGTGTGTTTTGTCTTTCTGCAGCAGCTCTCTGAAAGATGTTTACTGGGCATTGATGTGACACTAAATCAGGAGTTCTTCCTGTGTTTTCCAAGACTCTCCCCTGGATTTGGGTACCTGTATTTGGAGCAGCTGCCAACTGTATTTCAGTGAGAAATTAGACAGTTATTCATTAAACTGCTCTAGATCAGGAAACAGGAAAATGGCATTATGTAGCATGAAAAAAAGCAGGGAATAAATAGGTGGTTTGTTTGCACCAGCTGAATCTTGGGAGGATATGCAATATATTTATCCTTGTTATGATCTGTTTTAAATTAGAAACATGCTTTTTAACTTTGTGGAACGTAATTTATTGGCCTGATCCAAGGTCTACAGACAGCTGAGTCCTGCTATCTTTCTTTAGGGCTCATGTCCTCAAGGACAAAACTCAAGAGGAGTAATTCAGTGAAATATTATGTTGTATATATTATTCCTAAATACCATGTAATGAAGTTCCAAACAGTAACAATGGAAAATAATGTGTTCATACTTTTTTTTTTTTCCTGTTTCTCAGGTTAAGAATGTGCTGAGAATCCTTGTTGAAATCTGGAAGCACAAGCCAGGGGAGAACTTTGTTGAGAAACTAATCTTTATTTCACGTGTACCCTAAATGATTTTAAGTAACCATCTCAGAGCATAAAAAGCAAAAAAGACCTGAACATAATGAGCCATTATTTCAGTTTTTGTGAGACTGTGACTCTCTCAGAATGTAACCAGCCTTCCTTTGTGGTTTTCTGCAGGCTGAGGACCAGCAATCCCAAAAACACACATTGAGGGCACACTCACATCTATCCTAAATGATTTTAAGTAGCCAGCTCAGACCACAAAGAGTGAGCAAAACCCGATCATTCGGAGACGTTTCTACCCTTATTTCAGACGACGTGAAATTACGACTCTCTCATAACCAGCCTTCCTTTGTGCTTTTCTGCAGGCTGAGGACCAGCAATCCCTGAAAGATGCATCGAAGGCACACCACGCTCCGGGAGAAGGGCCGGAGACAGGCCATCCGGGGCCCAGCCTACATGTTCAACGAGAAGGGCACCAGCCTCACGGCAGAGGAGGAGCGTTTCCTCGACTCCGCCGAGTATGGCAACATCCCCGTGGTGCGGAAAATGCTGGAGGAATCCAAAACCCTGAACTTCAACTGCGTCGACTACATGGGGCAGAACGCCCTCCAGCTGGCCGTGGGGAACGAGCACCTGGAAGTGACGGAGCTGCTCCTCAAGAAGGAGAACCTGGCCCGGGTCGGGGACGCCCTGCTGTTGGCCATCAGCAAGGGCTACGTGCGCATCGTGGAAGCGATCCTGAACCACCCGGCCTTCGCGCAGGGCCAGCGCCTCACGCTCAGCCCCCTGGAGCAGGAGCTGCGGGACGACGACTTCTACGCTTACGACGAAGACGGAACCCGCTTCTCCCACGACATCACCCCCATCATCCTCGCCGCCCACTGCCAGGAGTACGAGATCGTCCACATCCTGCTCCTCAAAGGCGCGCGGATCGAGAGGCCGCACGACTATTTTTGCAAGTGCAACGAATGTATCGAGAAGCAGAGGAAGGACTCCTTCAGTCACTCCCGCTCCAGAATGAATGCCTACAAAGGATTAGCCAGTGCTGCTTATTTGTCCCTTTCCAGTGAAGACCCTGTCCTTACTGCCCTAGAGCTAAGCAATGAACTGGCCAGACTAGCCAACATTGAAACTGAATTTAAGGTAATTTCCCACCGTGCCTTTTTCCTTGGGCTGAAAATGTTCAGGCGTGTTTTACGTGTTTGATCAAATTTTGGTTTGCTGTTTGAGGGGGTGGGGGAGTGAGGGAGACTGGCAGAGACTGCCAGATGTGCTGCCTATGCAGAGAGTCAGATCCCTGTCATTCTCCAGATAATAAATGCTTGGAACTGAATATTGCATATTATAGCAGAAAAGTCCTTACTTGGAGTTTCTATGTTGCACACTATGATTGCTTAGAATCTCTGGTCTGCAGCAGGAATAAAAATTAGATTATTCTAAAAATGGAGATTCATGCTTATTAAGAAAGGTAAGTCTTTTTAACTGAGCAATCTGTTTTAGAGGCAGAGCTCTAGAAGCTGGTTTAATGGTTTAAGAATACAGTACTTCTAATTTTGTTACAAGGATAAAAGGTATAAATCAAGTAATTTTGCTTCCCTGTAAAATAACTTAAATTGCATTGCATCTTAATGGCTTGGTACTGTATCTGTATATGAAAAATTCCATAAAAAAAGGAAAGAGAAACAATCAAGAGATTGTTATGAAGTTTATAATCATGCAAAACATAACAGTGGAACTTGTGGAGCTCTTAGAAGTTATTCAAGATTTCCATTATCATAATGAATTTGTAAATGTCCAATGTCATTTGCATTATTTCTCTAAGTCATTTACATGACATAAATAGCATTGTCTCTCTTTCTAAAATAAATTAGTCATTAAAACCCTCATTTTCAGTGGCTCAGTTATCAGCATGAAATTGGTTTCTGATTCATGACTATTGTGCAGCTACAGTCATGATCAGTGACTCTGGGGTAACAAAGCCTGGGCTGTGAGTTACCTGGGGTAGGATTCTTGCCAGGGATACATGAGTTTTAATTTAGGAAGCTATTCATGTGTTAAAGCTTCCATTTCAGGATTTGGAGCTCTTTGCTGTGAAGGACTAGGGAAGAGATCATCCCCCTGTGCTGGGCACTGTGTAAGAGGCCACACCTCGAGACTTGGGTTCATTTTTGGGCCTCTCACTCCAGAAAAGACATTTGAGGGGCTGGAGTGAGTCCAGAGAAGGGCAACAAAGCTGGGAAAGGATCTGGAGCAGCAGGAGCAGCTGAGGGAGCTGGGGAGGCTCATCCTGGAGAAAAGGAGGCTCAGGGGGGACCTTTTCACTCTCCACAACTCCCTGACAGGAGGAGGGAGCTGGAGGAGAATCGGGCTCTTCTCGCAGGTAACAAGTGACAGGACAAGAGAAAACAGACTCAAGCTGTGCCAGGGAGGGTTGAGATTGGATATTGGGAAAAATCTCTTCACTGAAAGGGTTGTCAAGCTCTGGAACAGCCTGTCCAGGGAAGTGGCTGAGTCACCATCCCTGGAGGGATTTAAAAGACTGCAGATGGAGGACACTGGGATGTGGTTTAGTGGAGGCTTTAGCATGAACAGTTGGACTTGATGATCTTAGAGGGCTTTTCCAACTTAAATGGTTCTCTGCCTCTGTGCTCTCCAATTTATAAGTAAGGAAAAAAACATATTCTCAGGCTCTGCAACACTTTAGTAACTCTCTAACAGGAAAAGAATCCCAAACACTGAGCTCTTTTGGCAATAAAAGTAGGGCAAAACTTTGCAAACTCTCTTTACCCCTGTGTAGCAGAATTGCAACAATAATTAAAAGGGGAGGTTTTACTTGAATTCAGTCCTAATTAAACAACTTCATTGAGTTCAAGCAATCTGATTGCTTGAGTAAGAGTTGCTCCAGTGTGAGAATGTTTCAGGCTCACCCCCATAGTTATCATTAATATCTCATTAATGTTCCAGCTTGTTTTCAGTAGAAAACTAGATATTGTGAGCAGCCCCAGCGTTGCATGGCTGTCACTCCTGAGAAGTGTCTTGCTGCAGAGAAATAAATTGATCTCTACCAGAATCCTTCCTTTTGTTCATGGAGCTGCCAGCAGGGTCTAGACTGGCACTGGCAGGGACGTGAATCCTTCAGGAGCAAAGCAGCAAGGAAATGCTGGATGGTCTCACGGTGGTTGTACCTTCCCAGCACTGGAAAATGGATGGCAATAAATCAATACCAGATAAAAACCCCCAAATTATTGCATTTCCAGGAAGGTTTTCCAATTCCATTGCCTAGTTGGAGGGTTCTGTGTGACACCCATCAACCTATGAAGGCAGTGAAGTACCTCAGAAGTGCTCACACCACCAGTTCACTTCAAAGAGATTGCACTCCTTTGTTGCATTAATGCTTCCAGAAATAAGAGGTTTCTCGAGATTCTAATGTATTCTTGCTGTAGCAAAAAAAAACCCTCAGAGGTATGTATTTATGCAAAAATATTTGTCTTTGTTAACATCATCAGTGTGATGTGAAATGGATAAAACAATGGGCTTTTTTTCATAGAACATGACAATTTGAGAAATTATTTTGAGAAAAGAACACAATTGCTAAAAATGTGTTTAAGAGGCCCACACATGACGAATATTTATTAAATCAGACAAGCTCTGGAGGGCTTTTTTTGTGTTTAAAATAGTGCTTTCCTAGAATTTTTTTTAATTTTTTAATTGCTAAAGTTCCGTTATTACAATTGGCACCGAACAGATTCATAAAATTATCGCTTGGGATTATTTAAGAACATTATTTAAGAACAATATGCAATCGCAGCAATACAGTTCTCAGGAAGTACAAAGAGTCCTTGAAGTGGAAAGCCACAAGATTTTAATAATGTAGGTGGACAAACAGTAATTTAGTAACCTCTGAAGAAACTCCTGGCATGAGCTAATTAAAATATAAATGCTGTGCCTGTCCCTGCTGCTTGCTGCCCTAAATCTCTTATGCAACAGCCCCTTCCTGCACATCAAAATGAAAATGCATGTGCTGTGTTTTTAGGGAACATGATTTTTTAGGCAGGTTGCCTCTTTACATATATGAAAGGTGAAACAAAACTGCCACATGAGCCACTTTGAACGAGAAAAATTGCATCAGCTGTTGGAGAGAGACTCCAGTGAAGATTTCTGGGTGAAAATCAATTTATCCATTAATAATTTTTTTTGTCAGCAGAAGCTGAATAGTTTGTTCTCACCCTAAGATTCAGCAATACTCTGCAGTTCTACTGAAATAGCTTTGGAAAATGTTGCAAAGAGGTTTTCTTATTAATTGGGGAAAAAAACATTGCTATGATAGATTTGAAAGGAGTCCACAAGAAATAAATAAGGCCTTCTTCCCCAAATTTAGATGAAAAATGTGACACTGGTTGTTTCTACTGAAAATATTATCAGTGTGATTGCAATTCATGTAGAAATGGGGTGAGTAGGAAATCTCTGAGAGGTGGATTCCTGACATTTCAGAAAAAAAGAGAAGTAAAAATCAAGAGTCCCTGTGTGTGTTTGCAGGTCTTTATGCCATGATATTGTTCTGGAGTGGGGGCATTCCAAGAAAAAACAACCTTAATTAAGTGCTTTGCCATTTTAATATATCCCACTCCAAAGCTCAAAATTGAGGACCAATTCATGACTTCCTTTCCAGTTTTCATTTTGTGTTTAAAGAGAGCACCAACCAATATCCACTGGAGCAAGGGCAATACAGACTGGGGGCTGACTCAGACCACTGGATCATCCCTTCCTCTGCACTGCCCTTGGAAAGAGGGAAAGAGAGGGGAGCCTTCCATCCTGTGTGGGTTGGGGGGTTCTGAGAGGCCACTCTTCTGCAGGCTGCAAGAACAACTGGGTGGGAAACTGAGGGGTGAATTGTAATTAAAAATCAAAAGCACCATTAAAACAGGAATACAGGACAGAGTTAATGTGCTTTGTAGATTTCCATGAAGGGTGGAAAACAGACATTAGGGCAGTGATTAAAATATGAAGCTGTTTTGAGGGAGAACACGTTGAATGTCAGCCTGGCAGTGCCCACAGAGGAGGAATTCTCCCCTCTCTTTCACTCTCTTTCACTCAAATAGGAAAAAAAAATCTGTGTGCACTCCAATTTCCTTCAAAGTTGGCAGACCCTGGGCCTGAGTCATAAAGCAAACAATCCTTCTGTCATGTACCAGTGGGTTCTGTTTGTTTTGCTCACATAAATAAACTTGATGTCATTTCCAGTATGAATAGCACAGCCAGGATTTGTCCATTGGAACAAGTCATCAGCCCTGAGCCTGGCTGTGAGAATCACTCTCCTCTCTGGTCCAGAGAAATCCATCCTCCCCTTGTCAGCTTGGGGTGGAACCATGTGCAGATGTCCCCATTTACCAGCTGTTCCCAGCCAGGTGACTTGTAGCTGTTAGGGATGATCTGCCATTCCTGCCTCTTGCTCCAGGCAGTCAGTCCCAACTTTTTTTCCCACCTATAGATAGATTGATTAACTTCACAGGATGGGCTTAACTCAAACTTCTTAAGAGAAATGACCTTGGTAATTTTCTGGCTATTTCTGGTTCCATGCTGGAGATTAAAAAAATCATTGTTGGGTTGTTGTTTTTTGAGGGAGTGATAAAAACTAGGAAATAGCAGGAAATATTGAGAAGCAAAACAGTAGGAAGGGAAAATACTTTGTGAGAATAGAGGATGGCAGTGGACTTGGAAAGAGTGCTCTCTGGCAGACATCTTGCTTCTCATATATCTGGGAATACTTTTGTGACTCATATTTATTTTTTCAACAAGCTGCTCTTTGAGGTTTTAGTGGGTTTATATGGCCTTTGTTTAGATTTCCATTTAATTTTCCAGAATTTCCTATTTTTATTTTATTTTTTATTTTATTTTTATTTTGTTCTTTTTTTTTTCCTTTCAGACAGGATTTTTACTTTTTAAAAGATGTCTTTTTACTCGTGCAACTTCTGTCTTCTTCTCCTGTTTCACTCAGGTGGGTTTGGGGAGGAAAAGACAGAAGGGAAATTAAGAAATCTGGTCTGATAGGCAGAACATATTCATTGCCTTTTACTAATACTGTTTTTATTTTCCCCTGCACAACCATCAATCTTACCTAATACCTGTTTGAAAAATGAAGCACC